ATAAGCATAGATCAGGGTGTGCAGAACACAGATGCAAATACCAGCAACTTTTCTATAAAAAATATGGAAAAAATCTTCCCCAACTTACCCTCACAGAAGATGCAGGATATTTATACTAAGTTGAGTCGTCAATACTGTTTTTATAGTTTATTGTAACACTAATGAGGAGCTGACAAAAATAAATTTATAATAGGCTATTTTTTTCCTAGAACTCCCTTCTTGCTAATTTAGAGAGACTGCCATGCAATTTTAACAGTTTTTATCAATGTTTGGAAACCCAAAACTAGTTTTATCTACAAATGCTCAGCCTTCTCCAAACGACTAGCTCAAACTCTAATGCAATTACCAGACATCTTACAGTAAACTGAAGAAGCTGAGACCCTCCCAAGCATGAAACCAGCCAAATGCTAAATAACTGCAAATTCTGGAAACACAAATCCTGAATTAATTTTGGCATTTCTACAGCATGTTTCCTTGCTTTCAAGCCTAAATGAAGCAAAAGTGGAAGACAGCATGCCACATGAGTGTGACCTTTTACAAACCATGAGAGATGGTTCATGATTTAGAGCATAAAAGCTCTACTGACATTACAGGAAACAGAAAAGATAATTAGTTATAACAGATTTCTTATATTATTGAGCTATCTATTGATCCTCCCTCTCAATATTTTTACATAATACCTAGAACAATCTGAATTACGATGACAAGGAGATAAATGAAATTAAATAATGTTTTGTCTTCAAATTCCATCTGGTCTATATCAACGTTCTATTTACAAACTCAAAAATTCCATTAACACATGATTCATCAAAATTATTTTCTGGAGTTTAAGCAGACTGAGATTATGATTAAATTAACGGAGTAGCTCGGCTGTTTGAAGTCTACTGCAATGTTCTGCAGTGTACACACAAGGACAGTTACTTTGAGAGGAGTCGTGATCCATAAGGCTGGGTTAATGAAGGTTGCTTGAACCACTAACACAATGCATTAACACTCTCCAAAGGGTGAGCATCATTTTTCATACCCTGGTAACCCATTACTATTAGCAAACAAGCTGTACAAGCTTCATCCACTCACACAGCTACTTATTACGTTAAGATTCTCTTCACCATACAGTTACCCAGCATCAAGAAAATAATGTGACACAGTAGCAACAGGAACATTATTTTCTTCCACAATAACCTTAATTAGCACTTAGGATATTTACAGTAAATACAGATTGTGAGACTTCTTTTTTTAAAAACAAAGTTACCGAATTCATATCAACCGTATGTTACCCTTTAGCTACAGAATAGCAGATCCAGTAAAAAGACAAAAGCAAAGAGAAATGGAGAAGAGTAAAGTAAAATAACATATTATTTAACCAAACTATGCCATGTATCCATCCAAAAGCCAACGAGGACAGGATCCCTTACTTGAGGCATCCAAAAGTTTATGAAATGACAGCAGTACACATCCACCCTTGCCTACCTAACAACTAAAACTTTACTTTAATCTTACATGTACTTTGGTGTATTTTCTGGCAGAAGAAAGTAACTGAGTGGACAGTCTTCTAGACAAAAAGAAACAGTCCTAAGAATATTGAAAAATGCGTACCTTTTACTATCCAAAACTTTAACTGGACCACTGTATTATAAGGGTTGTGATCAGCAGTACAAAGTCCAACTGACAGCTAATTACTAACGGCATCTGGCAGGGATCAATACTGGGGCCAATACTGTGCAACACCTTTATTAACAACTCACGATGGCATAGAGTGGAGATTCTATGTTTGTGGATGATACTAGATTAGGAGAAGTGGTTTACAGGTTGAAAGTCAGGGCTACAATTTGGAGGAACCTTGGCAGGCTGAAGGAACGACTGATAGGAACTTCCTGAAGTTCAGGACAGGCAGACATCCTGTGTCTGGGATGGAATAGTCTCATTCAACAGCACTGACTGGGCACTGACTGCTGGAACGGAGCTCTGCCAAGAAGGACTTGGGGTCCAGCTAGACAGCAGGCTGTACCCGAGTCAGCAGCGTGTCCTTGCAGAAAGGAAGGCCAACTGTATACTGGCCTTTCTAAGCAAGAGAGAAGCCAACAGGTCAGAAGAATTGATTCTTCCTCTGTATTCACAGAGGCAACCAAGGTGGTGAGGAAGCTGGAGCACTTTACACATGAAAGGGGGCTGACAGAACTGGATTTGTTCAGCTTTAAAGAGAAAAGCCTATGAACAGCTGCAATTACCTAATGGGAGAGTGTAGAGAAGATGAAGCCAGATTTGTCTCAGGGGTACATGGACATAAAAATAAAAGGCAGTGGACATCAGTTCCATAAACAAAAATTCTAATTATGTATACATATTTTTTTAAATAATATCACAATGACAGTAGTCAAACCCTTGAACAGTCCTACCCAAGGAAGCTGCAGAATCTCCATCCCTGGAGTTGCTCAAAACTCAACAGGGCAAGACTCTGCACAGCCTGATCTAAGTTGGCTCTGCTCCCTTAGATAGAGACGTGAGAGGGGAGGTTTGGAACACTGACTTCCAGAGGCCCCATTCAACCTAAAGAGTTCCAGGTTTCCATAATGTCAATTACATCCCAGTCTCACTGGCTTCCTTTCCAAATAGAAATGACAGCTTTTTAAAATACTTCATGGTTTCTACAATGAAAAAAACGTGTAATGAAATTTTCCTCACTCTGAAGCATTATAATCCCCATTATTTTGAAAAACAGTTTCTTTAAACATCTTTTCTACATATGCTACAGGTATGTCATACAGACAACACACGCTGTAAAATATAGCTGCTATAAGATGATCAATTCCTTACAGTCAGGATTTTGCTTTGCTTTCTCAAACTGTACTGCTTCAAAACAAAGAAAGCATCCTCTACTCCTCAACCACGAAAACAATCTAGAGTTAAGATTAATCTAAGATGTTACTTTGTAAGTATTCAGTACAGTATGAAAAAATCAACATTAACTAGCAAACACTCATGATGTCTACAAAAAACTACCCGAAGAAAATTCTAGTGTAGAAAAGGTATTGTTCAGTACCTACCTTCAGTTTGAAAAAGAACTTAGCAGTTATCTACAGTCACAGACATTGATACAAAATCTGCCATAATATACAGCTCAAAGTAAAATATTCATTGTATTGGTTGCATCCTTTGCTGAATACTATATAATTTGGATTAAAAAAAAAAAAAAAATTAAAAAAAATTGGATCCACATTCAGAAAGACAAATAAACAATTACAGTTTTTGATGAGGTACTACTTTCAACAATTTCCTACTACACACAATCCTAGAAAGCCCTCACAAAATTATTTTAAGTCAGATAAAAATCAGGACCCTGCACTTTACTTTCAGTTACAAAGCATGGTAAAGGACATTTTAAGAAAACACACTTACTTGCTACAACTGTCTTTTTTTTTTTTTTAATTTAAGTGTAAAGCCTTACAAATAATGCTTCTTAAACCTGAACATTGAGAAAAGTTACATAATTATAGCCCTAAAGCATTGAAGGTACAAATAAGTATTCAGCATTTCTTTTTTTCTTAGAAACTAAACAATACCATCCTGTACTGTCTTTAATATTTTTATTAAACAGAACCATAAGGTTGATTACTAGAATGGCATTTTTCATTTTAAAAACCTGGTTAAATACTTTTTTTATATAAATATTCATTGGCCAAGTTCAGGCATTATAATTATGCACTTTATTTAATATACAATCATCTGCTTTGATAAATTATTGAAATGTAAACATCGATACTGATATAAGCATAAAATGACACACAAAAAGTCACACTGCAAGCAGTTAGATTTTCTGAAGTAATAAATACATTGCTTTAAAAATATTTTTAATATAAGTACTTTGCTACCCAACATACAGAAGTATCTCCTTATATTTTTCATATTCATTTATATTTTAAACAAAAAAACGTTATCTACAATAAATTTTTTTACATACATTTACACTGATAGTGTAGTATTACATAAACATTGTTCTCCTGCCCTTAGTTTTTGATCATTAAAAATACTGTAACATCCTAAAAGGGCACAAAGAGCATTATCAAATATTCGGGATGTAAATATGTGCAGGCCAACCCAAAATCTGCTATGGTAAGCACTGGCACAAGAAAAACCTCACAGTATGTGTAATGAAAAGATGGAATTAATCTTTCCAAGAAGATTATCAAATATTAAGCTACAGAAGAAATATTTTCTATCTCATCATTGACAGGCTAGTGTGGCAAATATATGCCTGGTTCTGCTTGGCAACATTTTGTTAATACTCTATTCATTAATTTAACAAACTATCAAGAGAGTATGTTTAGAATGGGCAAGCATTATCTCTTGCATTTCATTTAATTAAACTCTGTTCTAGCAATATGACAGTCAGCATTTCATGAAGGGAATTATTTTAAGGATGAAGGTAGAAAATACTTCAAAGTGCCCTGCTAAAACATGAAAGCATAATCTAAAATTACCCTTGCACACATTGTAATTTATCTATAATATTAAAGATGTTATTTCCAGAGTTCATAATTAATTGGATTCCACAGAGAAATTACTCAGGCATTCCAGATAGCAAAATGATGCACAAAGGCACAAAACATAGTGCCGAAGGACAACCATAAACAACCACTGTGACTTGCCCGAATTACAACAATCATTGAACTTAATGTGAAATGAATACTGGCTGCCTTTTGTATGTGGTCATTACTCTGCTGCAAAGAAATTGCCATTGAATTTTGATTATATTGCCTTAATAAAAAGTAATGAAAGTGGCTCATGCTCTAGTGGCTTTCTTTTAAATGATACATGACAGTGATCTTGCAAAGGCCAGTGTGCCACAAGTTGATTGAGTATGACACCTCATCCGAGGAAGGCGATGTTACCCCACCATTGTATGTAACTGCAGTGATGTTGGCTTGACTTCTTGTGAACATTTTAACGAAACGCTTTCAATGAAACATCAGTTAGAAATTCGGTTAGCTTTTAAGACTTACCATCAATCCGACTAACGAGTTCTTCCAACATTTTCACTTTCTTCTGAATTCCTGGCTGTGCAAACGTGTAGTTATCCTGAAGAGAAGACCATACACAAGTATAAGTTTGGGGGGGAAAAAAAAGGTTTCTTTTCCTTCAATTAACTCAATCCCTGCATTTTTCTATGTTTTCTTAAGCTGCTTATGTTTTTACATTCTTCTTTTACATTCTTTTTGGGGTTTTTTTTTTTACATAGTTCTACAGTTAAGTAGTAAAACATCACATTGTACAGTCCTACCTCAAGTCCCCATCTCTAACAGTATACCCTACAGCTATTACTGCATCAATTCTTCTCTACTTGCTAGTCTGGTGCCCCTGAAGTTACAGGTTTATTGCAGAAGTCCAATTAGCTTTAAAAGACTGTCATCTTAAATGCCAAAATGTGCCACACTAGAGATTTTTTAAGGTGATTTTTTTTTCTCATAAATTTACAATTTTATCACAAATAATGTAGGAAATATGAAAATTTAGACCCTAATCAGTGACAGGATAAGAATCTGATCTTTAGAAGTTCAGAATAATACCTTCCAGCAGCATAAGAAATCAAAAGTCTATTTCAATGGAGTCATGACTGTTCTGAACCCAAGGTTACAGTTAATATCATGAATCAAAATCTAACACAGAGGCTATATAGCTAAAATGGCAGGGTATTTGCATGTATTTGTTTGAATGTATTAACTGACTGGATTTTTTATTTTTGGATTGCAGCTCTATAACATAGACTAGAGTTTGAAATAATGAGAAAGAGAAAGGTATCTCCACTCTAACCCCAAAGGGATCCATCTTTTTAAATAAAGGCATTATTTAAATACACAGTAATGTTACTAGTATTTGATTGACAATCCCTCCATTCAACTTATTTTGTTATGGTCTTTTATATAGAGAGATTCAAGAAAGGAAAATTACCAATATATATTTAAAAATAAAGTTGCTATGTAAAATTGTTTTTGTGTAACAACTACATACACAGAAAACCAGGGTAAAGGATTTTTCATCTCAACTTTTATTTTTTCAATAATTCCTTCATGAAAATCAATTGGAGAGCTGAGCAACTACTCCAAAAATAATCCTAAAAATATTTTCACCAGTGTTGGAATATTAATTTTTCTTGACTTGATTTCAACTTTAAACTTGGCCTTAGAGTAAAAAGGATGAATATCAGTCATTTTTATGTATCTTGAGACTTTTTTCTTTTTCTTAAAAAAAAAAAAAAATACTTTCTTGACTACATTTCCATGGTGTTTTTTTATTTTGATTTGTTTTATGAAACTGAATTGCAATATAATCTTCAAATTCTATAAAACTGCCATAAAGTATGAAACCTAAAAGTTCACAAAAGAATATTATACACTAATAATTATGTTGGTTATAGCACATCAGCCAACAAGTGATTTACAGTATCAAAAAGTCTATTATGTGCTCTGATCAGCTGCAACTGACCTCATTAGTAGCTATTTAAAAAATTATAGCAAAGTTCTCTGCTGGCCTAGCAGTAGCACTTTCGCAGTATTTGATATCAGAAATCAATGTATAAACCAGAACAGTGTTGATGAAGAAGCAAGGATAGTTCTTTGAATTTTGGAATTTCCCACAGGAATCACCAACTAAAACAGACAAACCTTGCTGGCGTTGAGTCTCAAACAGAACATGAGCATCCTCAGTAGTACAGTAAAGCATCAAAATTGAAAGAATGGAAAGTCTCACACAGAATTCAAATCTACCGTAATCTTATTTTGAGGACAGAGAAACTATCCCATGCACAGGTTTGACACACTCCTACATTAGTCATTTATTGGATCTTTAGGAAATAGTATATTCCTTTTTTTTTTTTTTTACAAAACCTACTCTTAACAATTAAAACTGTATTCATTTTTTCCCAAAAGTTTATATACTCTTCTATTAATTTATTTAAAGGAAGTTAACTGTTATTTCTACTAGTGGTACTGTGCTTGAAGTGCAGCCATATGGTACTCAATTATTTAATCTGTAACAGATCCTCTGTAAAAGTATCTTCACGTATTTAACACCAAAAGCCAACCCAGAGCTAAAACACTACTATTTTGATCATTAATCTCTCGCCAGGCAGGGCAACTCCCAACTGTGATCTATGAATCTGCAACTGTTTTCTTTCTTAAAGCATCATTTACTCCTTACACACCTGGAAATGCAACCCAAAACTGGCATCTCAAATTTGGAAACGGGTAAGTTTGCTCTTCACTACATTTGATCTTTTGCCTATTCATTTATTTTTCTGGTCATTATTTCAGCTGCAAATGAACACAACTGGGAGTCACTCTTCTACTTGTGCTGACTCATCTAACTGGAAAGATCTTTGTTGGCTCCCCCAGTCCTCTCTTCTAATTAAACTACACTGTACATATTCCCTCCTATGACACTTGTAATTGACTTTCTGAAGTTTGTAAAACTGTGAGAAGGACTTCGTAAACATAAAAACTGTTCTGTTATCTATTCTTCTTGCTGCTTTTGTGCTTATAGGCGGAGGAAAAAGCTAGTAACACAGTTAAAGGAAAAAACATGTCCAACTCCTGAAATTTGTGAATTTCCTTCTGCTATATTGCTCAGGGCAATATTTTTTATATATACGTATATAAAATTTTCTATAATGTTCAGGGCAATATAGAAGTACAGTGGTTTAGATTTTAATTCTCCTATCACACAATTTAATTTGCAATACTAGCTTCAAAATTTGACTCAACTTTACTCCCGACTCTTCTACCTCTTCCCCACCAAGCAGCACAGGGAGATGGGGAATGAGGGTTGTGGTCAGTTCATAACACTTCATCTCTGCTGCTCCCCAGGGGCCATATGCCCTGCCAGAAAGCCTGTTCCTGCGTGGGCTCCTCTCCATGGGCTGCAGCTTCTGTCGAGGCATCTCCGCCTGCTCTGGCATGGGATCCCTCCATGGGCTGCCGGGTGGATATCTGCTCCACCATGGACCTCCACGGGCTGCAGGAGGACAACCTGCTTCACCATGGTTTTCACCAGGTGCTCCTGGAGCACCTCCTCTCCCTCCTTCTTCACCGACTTTCACGTCTGCAGGGCTGTTTCTCTCACTTTTTCTCACTATCTCACAGCTGCTGCAGAGTGTTTTTCCCCCTTCTTAGATATGTTACCACAGAGGCACCATCAGCATCACCAATGGGCTCAGCTTTGCTAGCAACATGTCCATGGAGCTGGCTGGAATCGTCTCTGTCCAACATGGGGCCTCTTCTCACAGAAGACACCCCTGCAGCTCCCACGCTACCGAAACCTTGACACATAAACACAATTCAAGTTCTCTGCTAACTTTTGCAGAAAAAAGTGATCCAGTGTTAAACTCTCCTACCTATTCCCCCTCACAGTTGTGGGTCCTCACAGGAATATTTCATTACTCATCTTGCAAATTTTTGTTATATTTCCTCATTTATTCCTTGTGTAACTTTGACCATTGATGTTAAGCAAAAGACAAACTGAAAAAGTCGTAAGTAACTGAGAACAGGATTGTCTTGCCTCAAGAGATCTTCAGCAAAGAGTTAACTAAAATGCCTTATATTTCTAACCACTGTTCTCGATGCTTTCTAGTAAGTATTCACCTACGACAAAGTATGCATGAGTACACAACAGAATCCATGATAAACATAAAAAATTCATGCATTGGTGTGCAGTATCTAAATTCCTTGTTCTGCTCAGATAGCTTCCAACATACTTTCACTGAACTATGCTAACCTACTTCACAGCTGAATGGTTGTAATATCTAGTTCAGACTCCAACACATAATTAGTTTCACCTTACAATACAGAAGGTTAAGACTTTATAATGTCACAAGGGCTCAAAACTTGCTTCAGTCTTTGAGTCAGTAGTCTGTACTTATTCTATAGAGGCTACTACAACCACTTCACTGTACTGCAACTACAGCTAGGTCTGGCAGGACTTCTGCTCCAAAAATAATTATAATTTAAAATAAAATATTTCAATTATAGCCTTTACTAAACATGAAAAAATGTATTAGGTAATTCCTTACTTTTTTTTTTTTTTAAGTTTAGAGAAATTCTAACTGGAAGAAACTTGATTAGAAAGCAAAAATAAATGAACAAAAATGCACTGAACAAATTTAACTGGGGCTATCCTCCTATAGTCACAAAAAGAAAGGTGGTGGTGGGGAGGGAGAGAGAGGGAGATCAGAGTTTTTAAAAGCATGTTTAACTACTGGGTATCAAGTTCCATCCATTTTGGTAGCTCTATTCTGAATGCAGACAGTAAGATATAACTTGGAAAGGTGTTTATCTTAAAAAGTCAGTCCCAAAGTAACCTTTTCTGTGAATACACTGAGAAAGTGATATTGAGTGAGCTAAGGATGGTCCTACTTGCATTCTTAACATCCTCCAATTGTTGCAGTACATACACCATACAACTCTTGCATTTTCTATTTGTCTATCGGGACAAAATACCAAAGTAGATTCTAGTATTTTCAACCACGTGTATCAGTAAGTCACTCTGATGCATATTGTAACAAATATACTCCATTTCCAATCACCATACGCAGCCACAATACTGACAGCTATCTGTTCAAAATATTACTAACTTATGACAGAGTGCTAAAAAGAACACAAACGCTTTTTAAGTGCATGTTAAATGTACTTCTAAAGCAACTGTTCAGTAAGTCCAATATATCTCCATGTTATTTTAACTTTAAATCTCTTCCAAAATACTATGGATACTTCATAATGAGTCCGAAATAAATGTCAACATCTTTCTTTCCGACTTCTTCAATTATTTCAATTACATGTGGGAAAAGGAACATAAACAGCATTTGTGAAGGCCATCTGGTGTACAAGTACAAAGGCAGCTGTAAGCATACACAGAAGGAATCAAATACATACTGAGTATTATATATAAATACAATAACATATGTATATTATTAATTATACATAATAAATTTGTAAGTATAAGTAATAGATTTACATATATATACTTCTGTGTGTATATATAAACAGGTGTATATATATACACTCTTTACATATTTACACACAAATGAA